TTTCCCCGTCTCCCTTTCTGTTGGCAACTCTAAAAAGACCGTAGAAATGTTTTATGAGTTGACACCCTGTTCCCAGCCCGCCTTGAGAGTTTCTTTCTTTCTTTTTTTTTTTTGTAAATTTTATTTGAGTTTTCACAAAGAAATACAAATAAAACATCTTTTTTGAAAGTAGCGTAATCCCGGGTTACAATTCTTCGTACAGACACAAATTCAATTTCATGCTGATTTTTATGTTCTATTCCATATCTTATTACTGTTTTACATTTTGTACATAGCTTCTCCCCTCTTTTAATTTTCTCAATTTTATTTTAATTATCTCATCTCAATTCAAATCATTATATTTATACTTTTTGTCTGTCCTGTTTCAATTTCATATTATCTTTTCTCATTAAACAAAGTTTCTCCTGTAGTTGCTGATTGGAGTATGACACCTTTATATCTTTTAGTTTTATCCATTTAACTCTTATTTAAGCTTCAATATATACCTTAAAGTTATAACATTCAATATAATACATAACTTCCATTTGGATTCTGCTTGGTACATTCTTAAAAATACACACTATATTCTTTAAAAAAAAAGATTATAAACATATATAGTTAAAACAACACATTCCATTCCAATTCAATTCTATCATTAATGTTAATATTCATTAAAGTCTTAACTTCTTTAACATTACTTTTCAATTAAATATCATACTTCTATGGGAACAGTTATAAGCTTTCCATACTTAATTCCCCACCCCCCCTTCACTTATATTTTATAAAACATTAACTAATTAAAATGTTTCTGTCCCTTCCTAATTCAATTCTCTCGTTTATTTTATTTCATTTGTTTTATTGACAAACATTTCACTTGGTTACAATAATTATTTTATCCCTCATTTTAATCCTACGTTGTTTCCAATTTTATAAAAAATATTTCTATTAGTAATATAACAATACAATTTTATGTACCTTTACAGAATCACTTTTTCAGTTAAATTTTCACCCATTATCTCTAAATAGGCCCTGTTTCTCTATATCTTGTTTCTGTCCTTTGTAACTTCTTTTCCTTTCCTTCTTCCCTCTCTTCTTTCTCCCCTTTTTACCCCCTTGTCTCTCTACCTCTATTTCTCTCTTTTGTATTCCCCTCTTCTGTTGCTTTCCAATATTATACTTATTTTTCGAACTATTTTTCTTTTCTTTGGATGTTTTTTAAGCCTTAAATTCTCCATTCTCTTTCCCCACTTTCCTTTTTCTTCCCCACATAGAATTACTTGTTCATTAAAGATGGCTTCTTCTTTGTCCCAGTCTTTTTGTTTTGCAGAAATTTCTTGTTGTTTCTCATAGTTCCAAATCTCCTTTTCTAAGAATTGAAAAACGAAGCCAAAAGAACCTCTCCCTTTCTTGTGCATCTTCTTTGTACTTTTTAAGTTCCATTTTCAATTCATCCAGAAGTGGTGCCATTGTATAAATTTTTAAACAACCACCCGATTGATTTTAGTCATTCAAATACAATAACCAAGAATCCAAAGATCACCAAGTAATCCAAATACACGCAAGCTGTTTCTTTTTGCTCTTTTTTCACTTTCTCCTCCTGGGGTTCTACTATTTAGTTGCCAAGTTTCAGTTAAAATGTATCTTTTATGAGTCTTATTGAAGTTTTACTTTAGATTCCTTTTAATTCCAGGTAGTCTCCTCCCTTTTTTCCAGATCCTACCCTTTTATTCTTTTTCTCTCCTTTCCTGCTTATAAAAATTTTTAGTGTCCAGAAATCTTTATTATCCCTTTGACATTTTATTTTATTTTCAGTTTAATTGCCTGTTGATGTCAAAGCGGATTTCCCCCCCGATTTCTTATTTAAGTCTCTTAGTTGTCAGTATAGGGAAAGGGAGAGAAGAAAAAAAAGACAAACCTTTCCCTTTTCACTTCCCTTCACTGCTTCAGAATCTTCTTTGGGAACGATGTTATTTTTTTTTAGTTTAAATTCCAGGGTACCTTAGTTGTTGCTTTTGCAATTTAACCCGGTCAGCCAGAACTTTCATTTCTTATCTTCCTCTTGCACATTCTTTTCCGGTCGAGTTCTTCTTTGTGGTGGCCATTTCTGACCACCGCTGCAACTGCCTTTGGGAAAGAGAGTAATGGCCACCTGAGGAGGAGAGATGCGGCTCTCCTCAACCCTGCTGGCAGTCTCCCCCCTCTTCACCACCTCTACGGGGTGGCTTAGCCCCGAAACCAGCCGGCCCGGGGCGCTCCAGCGGCAAGCCCAGACCGAAACCAAGCACGATCGCGGATTTCTGTCTGTCGCCGAAGAAGCTCAAACCGGAAGCATGTTCTCCAGTTAGATATTTGCTGGGCAGAAACCTCAGTCATCTAGTTACTATCTCTGAAAAACTATGTGTAGAATGCACTTTCGCTTTCCGAGCTGCCACACTGCTCTTTCAAACCCCTTTCCCCGCCTCCCTTTCTGTTGGCAACTCTAAAAAGATATAGAAATGTTTTATGAGTTGACACCCTGTTCCCAGCCCACCTTGAGAGTTTCTGTTCCCTGTCCTGCAGTCTACGTCACACTGAACAGCTCAACCACCCACCCCCAGCTCCTGTGCCAAGGCTCCACTGTGACTTGGACGGACAGATACCAGGAATGCCCGGATGTGCCAGAGAGGTTTGACCGGGAATTCTGCGTCCTGGGCTCTGAAGGATTCACCACAGGATGGCACTGGTGGAAAGTGTCCGTGCAGGGGGACTACAGTTCCCCGTTGCGGGGCACAGCATGGTGGGCCGTTGAAGTGGCCAAGGAGTCCATCCCCAGGAAGAGGAGCTTCCAGCTGAGCCCCCAGGAGGGAATCTGGGCCGTGGGGACGAGTGTTTGGGGGGTGTCTGTCGCTTTTCAAATGTATCAGCAGAGGCTGAGCTTGCGAAGGCCGCTGCGGAGGCTGTGGGTGAGGCTGGACTGCGAGGCAAGAAAAGTGGAGTTCCTGGATGCGGCAACAGAGGCTTCCCTCTACACCTTCCAGATGGGGCCCCTCCTTGGGGAGACGCTCCGGCCTTTTTTCTATCTGGGCAAGATGGGGCTCACCCTTCAATGTGAGGAATATCCTGTGAAAATTATGCGTGACTGATAGTCCTCACAACAGTTGACATAGTGACCAAAGTTGAGGAGCTCAGCCCCACCTTCTGATGCCTTCAAGGCCACATCTGGCAAGATGGACCAGATGTGGTCTCTCCTCCATGCGCCATGCGCGACCTTATCATATGCCAGCTACGCTACATAAATTTTCTTATCATGAAAATATAATAAAAGATATATTTGATGCTGCATGTTTTGACGGGAGCAAGAATTGTTTTTGCCCAATATTGGAAAAATGAGGAAACTCAGATGATAATATAATCCAGAAAATATTAGATTGTGGGGAAATGGATAGGTTAACATTAAAGGTAAAGGATAAAGAAGATACAGAATATTTTTTAACTTGGGATTTCTTTTCTCAACGGTTAGATAGTAAAAGTAGAAATTAGAAGTTGGATGAATGCCATTATATACAAAGCAAGCAATAATTTTTACTATTCTGTATGTGTCAAATGACCCAGACAATACACTGTTTATTAAATACCTACATACATTAAAGAAAAATGTATAAATAAATAAATATAAAGATGACAGCTGTGGGAACCAAGGACACTTCAGCAGGTGTTTCCCAGACTGTCTCACAACAATACCAGGGGACTCCATTGGACAACGGGAGTCCTGGTGCAATAGGGGGAGGCAGAACTGAACTTCAACTATGTGGCTCTGCAGGGGAATTAGCTAGATCTGGTTTTGCCATCATCTTTGCCGATACGATGTACTCAAGAAAGTTTTGCGTTGGGCTTCTGGTTTTGCAAGGCTTTGGCGGCGGCAGGAATTTGCGATCCTCCGCGATTCCTGCTGCGCTCGCCGCCGAGGTTCCTCCGATCCGAACGGATCCAGAGGATAGGGCTGCCCCGTAGAGGCAGCCGAAGAGAGAGGGGATCCGGATTTGGGTTTGGGGGTATCGCAAACCCCCTCCTCAGCCGGCAAAACCCCTTTTTCCCAAGGCGGTGGAGCGGTGGTCAGCAATGGCTGCCACAAAGAAGCCTGCAGCCGGGTCAGATTTGTGCTGGAGGAAGCAGGTGAAGGTGAAAGTTTTGGCTGAACCGGGACTACAAGAAACCTCTAAATACCCTGAAAACTGAAACTTTCTAAGGATACATTGTCTCCCAAGGAACATCGTAAAAGCGGCAGGGAAAAAAAAAGCTGAAAGAGAAAGTTATTTTCTTTTACTCTCCCTTCCCACAGAAACAGCAGTTAATAAAATTATAGTCAAATGATTGTTTAATAATGATATCAGGCTATATAATTGTTGATTGATAATATGAGCTATTATTTAATATAACTACAATAGAGACTATGAAATGGATGCACAAAAAAAGTGGTAAACCAAACGATACACTGTAAATTTATGAAGGAGGATGATGCTTTTATGTTTTATGTTTTATGTGCTTTTGTTCGTTGTTAAAATCAATAAAACTTTTTTTCAAAAAAAAGAAAAAAAAGAAACAGCAGTTGGAAATCTGGAAAACCTGCTTGGGCATAGAAGGTAAACTTGAAATTTTAAGCCAAGGGGATAAAGGATTTCTGGACATTGGAATTAAAAACTTAAAATTCTTTTTATTTGTTATAAGTGGAAGGGAAGAGGTAAAGATTTATTTTAAGACTGTATTGAAGGAGACTGCTTTGAGCTTATAAGATCAAAAATAAAAGATATTATGGACTTCTAGAAGATTACTTTGGAACTGTGTTATTTGAATTCTACCCTAGGAAGAGAAAATATAGAAAGAAGAAAGTGCTAAATGGAACTGTTTGCTTTGATTTGGTTTGCTTTGTGACTTTGGGGTCTTTGTGAACTACTTCTTGGAAGATTAAAGATGTTTGGGTTGTTTTAAAAAAGGGGGAAAAATGGCATTATCTTTTGAAGATCTACAAATGGAATTTCAAAAATTGAAAGAAGAGGAACAGGAAGGCATGGGCTCTTCTGGATCTATTTTCCACTTTTTAGAAATGGCGATTTCTACCTATCATGAAATACAACAGCGACAGGAAGACTGGGACCAAGAAGAAGAAGAAGAAGCCATCTTTAATGGTCAGATACTTTTAGTGGAGGAAGAAAAGCGTAAGGGGGGTGAAGAAATGGTGAATTCAGGACTTAAAAAAGCAACCAAGGAAAAGAAAATTAAGATGGAAAATCGATACGATGTCAGAAAGCAACAGAAAAGAGAAATACAACAGAGAGGGAGGATTAAGAGAGTGAAACTTGAGAGATGGGGGGGGGATCAAAAAGCTAGAATTGACAAGAAAGGAAGGGAAAAAGGAAAGAGAAGTCATAAAAGCTTTAAACAAGATGTTAAAAAACAGGTTTTTTTCAGAGATAAGGGGTAAGATATAATTTTATAAAAATGATTCTGCAAAA